GGGAAGTGACAGGGAATTTGAGAAATATTTTTGTAATAGACAAAAATGATTTTTAAGAATGCAGAAAAAATTTCTGAGTTTCAAGTGATAGGTAATAATATGAGGAATTTTGTTTTAAATCTTACTATTACACTTGTTAAAGATGGTATTTTGTTGAGTGTTGTTAATTTTTTTCAACCCATTTGTCAATTTTGGTATCTTTATATCTTTTTTGTAACATGGTTTGTTTTAAATCCTTGGTGTGTTTTCTCTAATTTGTTTCATCGAAACAGATTTTCTTTATTCGGAGAGCTTGACTGTAGGTAATATTCCATTTAGTGCAAGTGAGATGGCAGCTTTTATAGTGAAGATATTGTGGTCTGTCGGTAAGTTTTCTGTACAACTCAGTGCGTAATATTATGTCCCTTAAAAATACAGTAACGTCAAGGAAGTTAATTTGGGTAGGGGAGTATCGAGGGTAAACTTGATTGTTTTGTGAAAAGTATTGCCATAAGAAATAAAGTCTAAGTGATTCAGAACTGTTGTCCAAATGACAAAATATGTCATCTATGTAACATTTCTATGTATGAGGCTTAACAGGACTTAGTTGTAAAAGCTGGCTTTCAATATGACCCATGAATATAGTGGCATAGTTAGGAGCCATTTTGGTATCCATTGAAGTAATGTTAACTTAAAGGTAATGTTGTATTGAATTCAAAGTTGTCTAGAGATAAGACAAGGCTGGAAAGGTCAGTTACCATTTGAAATTCTGAAAGGTGAGAAAGGGTTAGGGCAGATTTCAGAATTTCAAGTCCTTTATCATGTAAAGGGAGGAAATGCTTAACAGCTTTATGTGTACAATGGACACTTCTACTGACCATTTTTATGTTTTTAAAACATCTCTAATTTCTTAATATATCTAACATTCTTGTTTCCAATAGTATTCAACCAAAAATGAAAAACACTTATAATACACTGAAAGCTACTCAAAAAATTTCCATGGTGGCCTGCATGATGTCACTCAAACTTCACTTAATCTCACACTTTGGTTTACATGGTCATTCCTAGTTTGCCCCTTAAGAAAAAAGGTCCACCTTTCGAAAGCTCTCAAGTCATAGGGTATCATATTTTTTGTTAAAATGATGTTTTAACACATTGACATTTTAAACTCTTAATAATGAAATATCTTTCTTATAATAGTACTTGGATTATCACATTTCTTTAATTTTAACATGAAGTGAGATATGTTGAAGGTATTTAACATAATATTTTGGGACAACATGGGATCTATTGGTCCATCTCGGCTGTTCAATCCTCAAAACTAAATTAAAATGATAAAAAAAAATTAAACCCAGCCCTTTTCATTCATATACTTATCAAGCTTTTTCTTAAGCTCAATTAAATTTACTGTCTCTACAACATCTGTGGTTGGCAACTCATTCCAAAGACCAACCACCCTGCTAGAAAAATAAAACTGTCTTAGTTCAAGATGACTCCTACCTTGCCAAAATTTATATTTGTGTTCCCTAGTCCTACTATTCTCATTGTTAAATATAAAAAAAGATGATACATGAACACTATCAATTCCCTTTACAATCTTAAACACCTCAATCGGATCTCCCTAACTCTTCTTTTTTCAAGAGGAAACAGAGATTTCAGCCTCTTGTCATATGCCAACCCCTCCATCCCAAGCACCATTGTAGTAACCCTTCTCTGAACCCTTTCCAACATTTCAATATCCTTCCTAAGGTAAGGAGCCCAAGACTGAACACAATATTCCAAATGTGGCCTATCCAGTGACCTGTACAATGAAAGTATAACCTCTTTAGACTTGTATTCAATATTTCTGTAGATACAACCTAAAATCCTATTTGTTCTACCACTAACAACAGCACACTGCTTGGATGGCTTTAGAGACAGATTGACTATTACACCAAGATCCCTTTCCTTCATAATGCTATTAAGGTTATTCCCATCCAAATTATACTTATAATTCAAATTATGATAACCCACATGCATTATAATAATTAAAACCCATCTGCCATTTATTTGCCCAACTCATTAAATGATCTAAATCCTTTTGTAAATCAGCAGCATCCTCTTCACAGCTAGCAACACCCAAGACCTTAATATAATCTGCAAATCTAAGTAATTTATTGACTATCCCTTCATCTATGTCATTGACGTAAATCAAAAAGAACAAAGGTCCTGAGACTGAGCCCTGATGTACCCCACTTGTGACATTAATCCAGTTTGACTGAACTCCATTTGTAACAAACCCTCTGCCTCCTTCCATCCAGCCACTTTTCTATCCAATTTGCTAACTTATCCCCCATACTTATGGAGCTAAATTTTTTTACAAGCCTTTTAAGTGGCACCTTGTCAAATGCTTTCTAAAAATCCAGATACACTGAACCTATACCCTTACCCTCTTTTCAAAGAATGTTAAAAGATTTGTAAGGCAAGATTTTCCCCTTAGTGAAACCATGTTGACTATTCAATAAAATTCTAAACTTTGTTAAAGGACTTTGCAAAGCATCTTTTAATAGACTTTCCAAAACTTTTCCCACAACTGATGTAAGACTAATGGGTCTATAATTACTTAGACAATTTTTATCACCTCCCTTGAAAAGAGGAGTTACATCAGCTAACTTCCAATCCTCTGGTACCTGTCCACTATTCAAAGACTGACAAAAAATAGTAGTAAGTGGCTCACATATCCAATCTTTAACCTCCTTCAAAACCCTTGAAGAAATATTATCTGGCCCAGGAGCCTTATCATTTTTTAAACTTCCCAATTTTTTCTCAACCAGCTCAGAATTAATGCAGTCATCTTGTTTGATCTTGTTTCCATTTATCAACTGAACAAGATGTGGAATACTGCTTAAATCTTCATTAGTAAAAACCGAAGAAAAAGTAAAATTTAATAACCCAGCTATCTCATTATCATCAGATACTAGCCTTCCTTTATCATCCCTCAAGGGTCCTATCCCTATCCTAACATTTTGTTTCCCCTTAATGTATTTAAAGAAATCCTTACTGTTAATTTTTACATTTTCAGCCAACTTTTTCTCATACATCCTTTTTGTTATCCTAATTTCCTGTTTCACTAACTTTTTTGGATCTTCTATAATCTTCTAAGTCTCCTGTCATACCAGTCAACTTAAATTTATTATGCCTTTCTTTAATTTTATTTCTTAAACTCTTTGTGAGCCAACCTGGTTTTTTACTTGTAGATACCCTTCTCTTTCTATTATGAATATGTTTACATTGAATATTTAAAATTTATCTTTAAAAATTTTCCACATCTGATCAGTGTTCCCAACTAACTCAGCTGTCCAATTCACAACAGATAACTCTTGTCGCATCCCTTCAAAATTTGAAATTTTTAAAATTTGTAATCAAAATATCATTATTCCTTATCTCCATATGCAGACAAAACATTGAACCTAATAGAGCAATGAGCACTTGCACCCAGATGTTCCCCAATTTCCACCCTCTCAATCATTTCTATATTTGAAGTTAATAATAAGTCTAATATAGCATTGTTTCTAGTTGGTTCC